AAAGTCGAGTCTGAATTTTGAATGTGAATGCATATTTTAAGTTTCTGAGTCCCTAATAACGAAGTCTCACAAAACGGTCTGTGTAATTGTACCTGTTCAACCTAGCTTAAAAATGGAAAGTCCTATACAAGAGCGTCCAAAAGAAAGTTTCATAGCGCATAGTATTCCATCTAAATTTTTGAGGATTTTTTTTTCCATGACCCCTTTTTATTTATTTTTGTCTTGAATCCTTGGATTTCCATTGTCTTCATAATAGTCCTTTCACGGCTTAAAAGCATTGTAAGGTGTATTTTTTGTTGTTTCTGAGTATTTAATTCTTTATCTGAAATATAAAAGGTGATGGGGCTCACATCAAGCTTGAGTTGACCTTATCCTCTAGAGCTTACAATTAATTAATAAAACATCTATCTCATGTGATTTTTTGCCAACGTTTTGGAATTTTAGCTGGTAACAACTTGTTGAAAAGAGGATTTGCCAATTTTGGGATTTTTCGAAAAATTATTTTTTTCGTTTTGCGAGAAATTATTTTATTGTTGATAAATTTAGTGTTGCTTGTATATCCAATGTCTTTTTCCTCTGCAGCCTGGTTCCTCTTACAATTTTTTTAATTATTCCATTTTGGAAATATTTGAATCTTATCCCAGTTGTTTTGCTGATATGTTCGAACAGAGGTGCACCATACAACAGAGGCGACCGTATTATACTTGTATAGACTAGAAGCTTTAGGGATAAAGATAGGTTTGTTGTCCGAATTAAATTTTGGAGTCCTTACGTCTTAGATCTTACTGTTTAATTTGTTTGTCAAAATGTCTAGTAAATTTTAAATGTCTGTGGAAGTGAATACCGAGATGTGTTAAGTCAGTCGATAATTAAATACTGTTGTTGTTAATTTTGAATTCATTTGGCATTTTCTTTTTTCCTTTTTCGTATGAAAATATAATTCCTTTCGTCTTTTCAGGATTAACATCTATGTTTAGGATTTTTAGCTGTTCTGCAATTTTTTCACAAGCTATTTCCGCCTGCTGCATAGCTTTTTTGGCATTCATACTGCTATTTGAGACAGCTATGTCATCAGCAAATGCTGTCACAGAAGCATTTTGGTGTTTAGTTCCCCCTATTTCAGCAGTATATAATAGGAAAAGAACGGGTGATAAAACAGCTCATTGCCCCTCCCCTCCCCACAAGTGAGATCGACAGTGTTTGATTTCTCATTGCCAACTTTTACTGATAAGGTACGACGTCTTAGGAATGATTTTAACAATGAGTATAATTGTTCAGGACAATCTAGATTGATAAGACGTTGACAGAGCAGATTATGGCAAACCGGATCAAATGCCTTCGAGCAGTCCATTGATATTAAAGCAGTGGACTTATTTCGATTTAAGTTTTTTGTTACCTCCGCCTGTAGTTTTACTAGAGAATGTTCAGTGCACATTTGAGCTTGAAAGCCACTTTGCTCTGGTGGGATCAAATCATTTTGTGTGCAAAACTTTCGCAGGTAGTTCAAAATGATTTTTTCGAATATTTTGGCAATGTGAGGTAACAAACTTACCGGCCGGTAATGACCTGGGTTATTCCCATTTTTCGCTGGTTTTAGCAGTGGAAACAAAACAGCATGTTTCCATGAATCCGGGATGTAGCGAAGCCGTAGACAAGAGTTGTAAAGGTTCACCAGGTACATATACCAGGTGAGGAGGTTATATTTTGACGAGGTTTTGAATTTTTGAGGGAGAACATTTCAACGGGATTATGAATTTTTGTAGTGAAAAATTTCAAACCAAGGGACAAAAGGAAAACATTGAACAGACCGCAATAAGTAATTGTATGTGATCTTCGATTTCCTTTATCCTTTATTCGCTGGAACTGTTTTTAAGACGATACGAGCAATAAAATGTCATGGAATGGGCAGGGAGGGTTCATGCGCCATTGAACTTGTGGGGAATGGGCACCCCATGTCGTAAGGGTCTGAAAGTAACGTTTTTAAGACATATACGTAGACTGAGACTTTAAACAACCTTCGTTAAAATCAATTAACTAGAAACATTACTAAATATAATTAATTTTACTGCAGTTTAAAATTTATTTGTTTAAATGACTGTAAATATTTTGCTTATTTTGCCCCCACACATCAACGTAAACTTACATTATCTTCAATATCAGTTAGTTCTCATCCTGTTCGGAATGGTCAGACAGAGCTTAGTCGCAGAAGTATCTTAATGCTTTCCTCAAAGGAACTGTTAACTTGATAAATATAAAATATAAAAAAAAAAAAAGAAAAGGTAATTAACAAAAAGAAAATAAAATGAAAAATGCTTTTCCAAATTAATAACAATTTTTTTGAATTAATTGTAGTAATACATTTCACTACAGTTAGTGCAAAAGATCCTATTTAACTAATTTTCATTCTTATTCTGTTTGTGCTAAAAATCACATTTTGAAGTCTGCAACTGCTATACTTAGTCTACTACCATGGGAAATAACTGAAAGAAATAAAATATGAAAATATACTTATAAATCATAAAATAATCAGTTTTTATTTATACGAACTTACACACTAACAGTAGCGATTTGTATAATATATCGTTGGCAAGCTGAGGATTTCAAACAAAGTGATATCTAATATATAAAGTCAAATATAGTGGAGAGCAAAAAAACCAATCACTAGTTTGATCTTTTATTGTATTAACAGAAACTAAATTGAATATCCACAGAAACTAAATGAAAAGTTTAAAAATCTAGGCCAAACTTGATAAACCAGAAATAACAAGATGAGAGCACACCTTTAAAAAAAAATTCGAAACCAATGAAAGCTCTCTTTGTGAATGCAAAACAGAGGACTAAATCATAGGGCATATTCTTGAGACATGAGGAAGAGCATTTGGCCACATCGCAACTACTTGATGACGGAAGTCTACGGTGGTCTGGGAATCTCAGGAAGACCATCGAGTTCATTCCTTTAATCCCGAACTTTAACATTTGAAGGATCAAAAGGTCGAAGTTAGATCGAAGAAGAAAAAAACACATACGTTGAGCAGATTGCATCACTGAGAGAAGACCTGAAGAAGTTTATGGTTCCTAAAAATATGAAAACCTGTACCACTACAACCCATGAAGGGGCTCGGGTTCTGTACTGTGTAAGGAAGTACTGTTTAAAGACCAACGGTTGTGCTGTGAGGTGATCGGGTCGAGATTACACCACCAGGTTTTCCACCTTAATTAACTATTTAATCAATAGTGCACATTTTATAGAGGCTGGGTGAGCCACAGGAGGGTCTCTCAACACCAGCATCGATCCTGGGCTGATGTAAGAGAATAAATAATTACCTGGCAATAGCCAGATTTGAACCCAGAACCTCAAACATTGGAAACCGCTACTTTACCCACTGTGCTACCACACTCCCTCGAAAAAATATATCAAGTAATATATATGGGAGGAAAGAACATAAAGGTATGAACTTTAGTTTAATAATTAAGAACCATTTAGTTTCATTAACATCCGTAAATAGGCTCAAATATGTAAATATTCCATGCCTATTCAAAACTTTATTCCTACACAAAGTAGGATTTTTTTTTCATAGTTTATATGAATAATCTTTTCACCAAAATAAATTACTGGTGTTTACATACATATATAAGTATTTCTTTTTTTAAATATTAAAATATATTTAGATACTTGACCATAGAATGTTACTGCCACAGTTCCATGAGATTATCTTTTCAGATTGATTCGAATAACATTGTTTTTTTTATTTTAATAACATTAGGAACAACAAATAAGCGATGGGACACTTCCTTTGTCAAAAACGGTACAGTCTGGTTCGTTCCGGATTGCTTGTTAAATCTCTCCATTACGAGTTTGGACTGATAACTGCTTTAGTATATATTTTCCTTCCCCCCTCCCTCCCTCTTATCTTCTGATTTTATTAAAGAATATTGTATACACAGGAAATACATGAATAAGATAGGTAATATATATATATATTCTTACATTGCCTAATGGCGTTTTAAGCTGGAACCTTCAGTTCGAAGCATGTGGTGTACTCAGAGGATCATGACACTGATGCAAATCGTATATTTAGAAGTGCAATGTATCTGTAATGAATAAAAACTTTTACCAATTGTATAGTGACATAAAATATTAATATTTATTATGTATCAGACCATTATTATGTCGCATATTTATTATGTCGTCTATCAAAAGATATATTTCAGACAAAATCACTAGCGGATCCAGGATTTAATTTTGGGGGGGGCTTCAGTCCGAAAGATTTTTTTTTCATAAATCTTCATAAAAATAATGTGAAAAATAAAAGAAAGAAACTAACTACCTATATGAAATGGTGTTTAAGTGGTCCCTGAAGTCCTATTAAATGTAATTAAACCAACAAGAATACTTTAAAAGATAGTTTTTAATATTTTTTCTTGTAAAACATGGTTATATTTTACCATTTTTTTGGGGGAGGGGAGCTTCAGCCCGAAAGCAAGAATGAATAAGGTAAATATTCCGTTCAGGAAACTGTTAGGAGGAACTATGGGTAGGTGATTCCTTCGGGAGGGAATTCTGTTATTTAGTGGAAATTGGTTCTTCCAGAGGATGTGGAATAAGTACTTTACTTTATTATTATTATTTTTTTCAAGAATTTTATAACTCTATATTTTTTTTTTTATCAATTAGAATAATTCTTATTCTGTTATTACAAATCCTTCCTCTTGAATGCTGATTCTTTGATGACTGGCTACCAAGAATAAAATGTAAGCAGTATATTGCAAGAGTTTCCTGCTCAAATCCACTATCTAGATAGCTGTTGCTGTTCTGGAACGGATGCAAGCAGAAGACAAACGCCGCTACGGATTCCTCCCCTAATCAATAAGAAGAAGGAACCGCGAGAAGAAGAGCATGATATCCTTTTGTTTGAAGCCGGCTGCCCCCGCTCGTGGGGTACAGACCACACCACCCCTCCACTGGAGGCCCTCCAGCAGTCCAGTCTAGTCCCGCACCTCCTCCAGCAAGGATGCTCTGTCACTACTCCATCGTTTCCCTTCTTCTCGTAGTAGTTCGTGTAAGTACTCATAGCTTATATCCAGCCATTCCAAGCCGGTATAGGTAGATAATGTAAAGGCCCATTATATCAAAGGGTTGGATCTGACTGCACAGCTTCTAAATAAGAGAAGTCATAATAACTTTTGATAGTACAATTTATTAAATAACTTTTTTTGCCATTTGTATATTTCTTGTCATTTCTTTGGTGATGATAGATTTGTTCTATTGAAACATTGCCATGTATCCTTTAGTACCCTAAGATAAACCAATTTGAGTTGTACTTGCATCAGTACGTTTATCAGAGGAGCACGTTCATCACAACCGCGTTAATATGAATCCTCTCATTATCTCAGAAATATTTAAAAAAAAAAAATGTCTAAACTTTATGTATTTAGATCTTCTTAAACACCAATGTTGCTTTTGTAGAATTGTTATATTTATATTATATTAATAAATAAGATAATTAGATTCATATATTGATATTTTAGTCGAATGTTTTAAATTATGAAGATAAATAATAAGGACTGTCAGTCTACTTTTTTGTTAATAATAATTTTAGGTTTGTGTTATAAATAAAACATTATAAAGTTAATAAATTAATAAAACAAATCTGGACTTCAAATGCTTATTGTAATCTCTCCAAATAAATTAAGATGAAGATTGTGGAAACTTCATGGATTTCCATATTTTTATTATGAGTTAAATTTTCAGAGTATATGGATAACTCAAGAAAATACATTTTCCTATGAATAACTGTTCAAAATTTGAAAAATGGATTTAATTATTTCTTTAATCTATAAGTATTTAATAAAGTACGCATCATAATTGTATAAAAAAAAATAATGTTACAAGAAAAATGAATAGTAAATGATATCGCCTTTATCCATTCGTACGATTAAAATAAAAATATAATAAGTTAATATATTTAAATGTAATTGATTTAATCATTGCGTAGTCATTAACAAAATTTTCAGAACTATAGGTTCCCTTTATTAGAGATTTCAGTTAAGTTGACATGACAAACAATAACCTATGTTGAGTTTTCTATATCAATATTAATTAAGTGTCCATATTACGGCAAAGTAGTGAAAATTAATATTACTATCAACATGAGAATTTGTAGATGACAATTCGGCTTAAAATAACAACAATGAAATAAGATTATGTAGTGGATTTTTTATATATATAAATAAAAGCATGTATTAAGAATTGTCCCGATTTTTTTTTTAATTTTAAAATTCACTTTTAGTTAATATTAAATAATTTCTTATATAATTGCTTCTGGAGTCTGTGGGAAATTCAGCCAATGATGTCCGAGTTAATAGCGCTTATGAAACGACCTTTAAACTCACTTAATCGCGCCTTTAAGCAAAATCAGTCTCTGTATCGGGGTATCAAGGTCACAGTTTACGACATTATGAAAATTTCTTCCATTATGAGATTATTATAACAAATAAACCTTCTTTGGCCATTTTCTCTGTCGATTAGGAAAAAAGAAAAAGAAAACGATGGGGGAAATCTCCTAGCACTCCCGTCGTTAAAATTTCTTTCTTTAGAATTTCTATTAAAAAAACTACAGTACCATTTAGAACTTATATTAATACTTTTCACATAATAATGAAAAGAATAATAATTATAGTATACTTATGTATAATAATCACAGAATATTTTAAATGGAAAGTGTCTATATATAGATTGCGATTGTGAATAATTATCAAGTAAAGATGTAAATAATTATAAAGTCAATACATAAAAGATTTTATCATAATAATATTTTTTTTTAGTCTAAATTATTGCATCTTAGTAGATACTCGTAGATACTAAAACAGCTTCGATGGTAGATGGCATCTAAAGTATCTAATATAAAATATTTTCTGATAACTAGAGGCCTCTAAGGTTAAATAATTGTAAAAAAACTGGCCAAACAGGATATGTTAAAATTTACTTATTGTATAATGATATCAATCATTAAACAGTAATTATTAACGAAATAGTAACTTAAATAAAAAAAAAAAATATATATATATATATATATATATATATATATATATATATTAATATTATAGAAAAACTTCAAATAAAAGCTAAATGTTATGATTAAATTCTAATTTAAAGCTTTACGTTAAAGTGTAAACTTAAGGAGATTTATTATCAATATTAAAAAACAAGAGTTTAGATAAAAATGTATTTATTTACATGCATGTAATTGCATATAAATATAATATGTATTTATGCTTATAAAAATCGAAACTATAGATGCGAAAAAATCATGAAATTGTCAATATAGGTTTCAATTTCATTAATTATTTTTTATTTCATTTTTTTAAATTTCTTAGTGATATTTACATCTGTATTAAAGGAATACATCTAGTGAATTTGCACAAATGGATACAATGACGTGAGAAACTACTCAATAATAGTACTTATTATTTTTTAAATTTTGTGCTACAATACAAAGGGTCTTAACTTGTTGATTTTTTAAAATTATTGTGATAATAAGCCCAACTGCCAAATATTTGATTATTAAAGGTGAATTTAAATAAAACCAAATACAGTCTTAAAATTTTAGATTTGGAGATTCTACAATTTTCTAATTTTTCTAATCACTATATATATAATTATTTATTACGAGAATGCTTGAGAACATAACTAAAATTGCATAAAAAATAAAGTAAATAAAAATGATTAATAAATCGTACTGAATGATGCAGTTTAAACAATAAATGGTGCTATTTCACAGTATTAATGTAGAATAATTGTGTTTAACATTGTTTTTTTTTTTTCAAAAGAATGAACACCTACCGATATCCTTAAGAAGTAAATATTTCGTTAGGTATTTTTTCCACAAAAATTGTTTGACTTAATATAAAATATTATATTATACTTAATATAATATATTTGTAGCCCTAATATTAATGCCCTACAATGCGGCAGAATGTATTAATTTTCAAATAAAAAAAAGAAATATATATCATATACTATATTATAATATAATATACTATATAGACTTAATGTAAAATATTATATTCGAATATAAAAATATTTGAGGTATTTCTTACTATACATATATATACAGACAGAGAAATTACAATTACAAAAATTTATAAGAGTATAATTTGATTATGAAACTTCTTTCAGTCGGTAGGATAATAAAAGATAAATAATCGTTAGGAATCGCTATATCATCGAGAGATTTGAGTTTATTTTTTTTTTATTTTGTTATGATTTCGAACTAATTTACCCGTACGAATAACTCGTGGTATATTAAAATGGTAGTAAAATATGGAAAAAACAAATTAAATATATTTTGAGGGGAATTGAATTAATATTTTTCCGTATGTTTCAAAGATTTATTGAAAATAATAAACTAGACTATCCTTCAAAATACCAATCTGTATCCTCACTGTAGCGGTCTCATTTCGACGAATTGTTTTCTCGTTTTATAGCCAACTTGAGTACTTTTTAAATCATCACGTATACAATCAACCATATAGCGAATACTTTTTGAGCTACGAGCAAATAATTTTTTTTATTACCTTTCTCCTGTTTTTTGTTAGGAATGGACTAATTATTTGGCATAATGGGAGAAGATGGCGTACCAACAAAAAATGCGTTTGGTGAATTATATAAAAGTATTGATTTATTAAGTATTAAACAAAAAAAAAAAAAACGTATTTGCTTAGTGAAAATATTCATTCTGACTGAGCGACAGAGCAGGGACTGGTGGCATTTGTCAGTTTATCTAGTGTTGCCCAAAATCGGTCTTGGTCTTACACTTTGCAAGACCAAGACCAGGACTGGTAAAAAAAAAAATCGATTTTTTGGATAAAAATTAAGGAAAAATAGTTTCTAATACTTGACAATTTTAGTTAATATATTTAAATAATTGGTATAACCAATATACTTTTGCATTTAACTCCTCTAATTTTTCATTCAGGCTTAGTTAGGTTTCTCCTATCCAAGACCATGACCAAAACTGAGTTTGCAAGACCAAGACCGGTCTCGCATTTGGGCAACACTAAGTTTATCTCTTGAGGTGATTAGATCTTGCTGTGGTTTGCCGAAATGAACTGCTTTCTATTTCAAAATACTGTATACAGTTTTCGAAAAAGCTGATTTTTTTTTTTTAATCGAAGTACTGGTATGTTTAAGATACTGATTCATTCTATCGGCGTCGCCTATAGCATTCTTCGATGCCCGCTCATACACAATGCCTTTTCGTCTCATCACTTTTCTTACACGTAGATGTAACGGCTTCCTGGCCTAACCCAGATTTTGTCGCCTCTCTTAATGCCGAAAAGAGTATTCAAGAATGTCCGGTAGAAACATTTTGGAGTCGCAACAGGGCGTTTCTTTGTTGTGTAATTTTATTTTGGCAACATGAAAATATATGAACTTTTCATGAGCATCAATATCAACACCAAAAAAATAGTAAGAAATTTATTGAATAGTTTAAAGAAAAATAAAACTATTTATATATTTTTACCTATTTCTTATTATTAATTTATTTTTGTTATTATTTTCTTAACCGTTATTCTTACCATCTTATCTTTGATTATTAGTACGGTCAAGTATTCCATACAGAATATGGTCTCTACGATTTTTTCTATAATATAGTTTTTATATGTGCGATCGACAGAAGGTACAATTTTATACTGGATGTAGAAATAGAAAAATTAATTTATTCGGTGACAAATTCCCTTAGGAATATTGTCCATACAAATTAACATTAGATATGGCCAAAAGACTTATTTCAATAAAGAATAACTAAAACATAAGTAATAAGACAAGTATATACATAACTATGAAGATACACAATATAAACAAAAGTAGAAGAGCAATAGGGGATTACAATAGTGCAAGATAGCTGCTAAAAACAATAAAATAAAAATAACTAAAATAAGTTGTAAAGGAACGTTAATTAGTTTTATAAGCAAACCATTGGAATGATAAAAAAAAATACTAGATAAAAACAATAATTAAAGTAAATAAACGATTTAAATCCGTTCCTTAAGATGT